ATATATTAAAATTAAGTGTTAGTTATGAAATACATAAGAATTTTGAATGTATCTATATAAATGGCCAAATTATAACATAATTTTATAGAAAAATAAAAAGTTGATGTTTTTTAGTTTCCAACTTAGTATTGTCTTTTTGGACTTTTTTATTTCTTTTGTTTTGCTTATTTGGTTTGTTCATTCTTTTATTTTTCTTTGATATTTCTCATATATATTGGATGTAGTTCTAATGTTTTACATGTGAGATTAGGTTACCTGAGCTTATAGTGGTTCTTCACTTTCTATTCCTTAGGTATTCCATTTTTAGTATCTATTATTATGTTTAGCTTTGTTCTTGTTGATGCTTGATCCTCATTTTATGTTGATTGCTAGAGTTACATCTTGTTTCTTCAAGTTTCTTACCTGTTCTCATGTCAAGATTGTTGGAGCTCTTTTATTTTTAACACATGTTGGCTGTGATCATTGTTTTCTTGGCATTTTCATGGTTTATTTCATGGTGAGTGGTGTTAGCTGTTTTGATTATTGGTTGCTTCATTTAATCAATATGAGTTTTGAGACCGTGTCGATCTTTTTGCTAAGTATTGATGATCTTAACTGAAAGCTGGGCTCTTCTACACTACTATTATTAGTTGTATAACTAGGTCATTATATCAATTTCTTTTCGTCTTTTGGATATATTTTCTTTTCTTGAACTTTAGGTCATTGTTTTTTCATCACTTCGTAACATTTTTTTATAAATAAAGTTGGGCTTGATCCTAATTTTTTCTAAAAAAGTATCATATTTTTTGGGGACATTTAGATACATAACACCTAATTCCTATGTATTTACTTATCTAATATCAAAACATTGATTTTTAATATTTATGCCACTCAAAAGCAATAAAAATTTCTATAATTTGAACTTTTAAATGTATGCTGGATATAAGAAGGTAAATAATATAATCAAAACTTTCAACTAAAATATCTGAGAAAATTGGTAAATCCGGGCCAAATCGTACCACCCCTTCTCGGCCAAACCCCCTCCGCCTTCACTCCTCCGCACTGGCAGCGACGATCAGAGCTATTGCAAGTAGTTTTCTGAAACCCTAGCACTCGAAATGGAACCCTCTAAGTCGAAGAGGAAGAGGGGCCGCAAATCCACGAAGCCTGTCGCGGAGACGATGGATCTGCAACTCCCATCGTCCTCCCTGGCAGCCGACGAGGCCCAGGTCTCGCCCGCCGACTCCTCGCCACCAACCACCTCCCGCCTACCTCGTGGCCGGCCGCGTAAGACTCGCCAAAACAGCATCCCTGAAGATGATGTCGCCGGCGGGGACAACAAACTGCAGCCTTCGTCTCTTAAACGCGGGCCGCATCACATCTTCTCGAGCAACGGCGAGCGCGCTGATTTGGTGATGGTATCCGCCGCAGGGGAGCCACCGCCGAGGTGGGACCAGGTTGTTAAGGCAGTTCCGTCCATGGACGCGGTGGTTAAAGTGTTCTGCGTGCACACGGAACCCAATTTTTCTCTGCCATGGCAGCGGAAGCGCCAGTACAGCTCGAGCAGCAGCGGGTTCATCATTGGAGGCAGGAGGGTGCTGACGAATGCACACTCGGTGGAGCATTATACGCAGGTTAAATTAAAGAAGAGGGGCTCTGATACGAAGTACTTGGCGACGGTGTTGGCAATTGGCACCGAGTGTGATATAGGTGAGCTCTGTTGCTTTTTGGAGCGGTGAAGGCAGCTGGTTTTTGCCCTATTTTTTATTTTGTTTCAGTTGTTGATTTAATGGACTGAATGGTTTTGTTTACTAAGGAACACCATTTGGTCGTTTTAATTGTTAGCCTTCACTTTGCATTCCATTACGTTACCTGAAACTAGGATATGGAGGAGTAAAATGTGGAAATCATTTAATATCTGGTTTTGCTGGTGCGTTTCTCATCTGTCCTTAATGGAAATGATGCCATGCCCAAATGGTGTTTGTCATGTGCTGAATACAACTACTTGAAAATTGCACGCTTTAAAAGGTAAGGTTCAGGTGATGGCTTTTCCATTATAGATTCTTGCCAACCTAGAATATATGACGAGTCTATCTGTGCTTAGAACAACAATATCAGTTTTGCTATGAATATTGCAGTTTGATGCAATAGGTGGAAATGGAATGATGATTTTTGATATCTCAGATAATGGATGCTAAGATAAGGAATTTAAAGTCAAGAAGAAAATGAAAAAAAAAATATAAAATATTGGAACATACCAAAAAAGTGTTTATTTTTAATGGTGATCTTATGCACAGAAATTGATTGAAGATTGAAGCAATGTTAGTAGGAAGGATAATCCATTAAAACCTATTATATGTTTTTCTTCACTAAACTTTCTTCTGTGACTTGTACAGAATGTTACATAAATTCCATTATATATTTTTTTAATAAAGAAAAAATGGCCTCTTTAAATTCAAGGAACTAATGCAAGATAGATTTATGAAGTTAGAATGTAATATATTTTAGTTTATTCATTTCCTGTAAAATTTTAGTGTATTGAGTACTATGATAATTGTGACCACATTGTAATTACAACTATTTTAAAAATTTTATTTAAAATGCTCATATACTGCAATTTAAATCGAAACAATATGAAAATGATGTGGGCGAGGAGAAGTCACTTCTTCTTTTGATTAGGTTGCTTGGATGCCAAAATGACTTAGAGAATGCTAAGGTGAACAATAGATAGAAATATTCTTTTTTTTTATGATATGTAGTTATCTTAGGTTTGGGGTTTTTAAATTATTTTAGCTTTACAATTTGGAATGGTGTTAGGGATTGGGTTTGGAATGACTTGTAGGATGGTTCTTAGGTAGTGTAGAAGGAAGATTGGAATTGTTGGTTTGTAAAAAAAGAATGGAACATATGCTATTTGAACCATCCAAATTGATGAACATAGATATTTTAGGGAATTTACATAAAACATAAATATAGGGAATGGCAAGAGAGTTTTTATTATGGTTTTGATTTCTAATTGAAGAGAGTAGTCTCTAATGGGAGAATACACTTCCAATTCTTAGAGAGAGAAAGTGTAATTCTAAATTAAGAAAGAGAGAAAAGAGGGGGATTTGTTAAGCAATGCATCGATCAATTGAGGAAGCCACCATTTTGTTCCGTTGAATTGCTCTTGGAATAGGCTTTCAAAGGGCCTTTAACTCCAATTACTTGCCATATATTGTTGGCTATTTTGAAATCGAAAAATAATTCAAAATTCATATGAATCTTAATAAAATAATAAAAATTTCTAAGGAACCATGAAATAACCTATTTATACAAAATTTTCATAATTTATGATCCATATAACCAAATCAACTTTTGAAAAGGCCATCAAATGGTTATGAATTATGGCTTTGATTGTCATTTTTATAATGGCTTGATTATGTGTAAAAGCTAGTTAATCCTCTCCATCAATTATTCAATTGTATTCAAAATTCTCCTTTGTAGAATTTTGATGATGATATTCATATAAGAGATCATGAGCAATTTATTTGAGCTTTTCATGTTTTGGCAAGTGATTTTTTTTTGTTGAACAATTACACCTTTAAATAAGATATTTTTATTTTTAAAACGCTCATCACTAATTCATATGGAATCTTAAGCTCAATTTATATGTTGTCGGAACTAATCGTAGCATATGAACGTAAGAAGGCTTTGGTGATACAATAACTTCTAATCAAGAAATTATCATTTTAAAAATTTTCATTTAATAAAATAGTTTTTGGTTTAACCTTTTTGTAGGCCTCCAAAGGTTTCTTAAATTTTAATTATGTTTTGTACTTTTCCAACTATCTTGAAATTAAGATAAAATTCAAAATTCAAATAAATCATAAAAAAATAATTTGGATTTTCCTTACAAAATCTAAAAATGACCGGATTAAATAAAGGTCTCATAATTTTTTTTACATGATAAAATGAAGTAAAAATAGAATTAAATGGCTGGGAAGCTTGACTTAATGTGTAGTAATGATGTTGGCTAGGTATAGTATAAAAGTGAGTGGATTGTCTCCATAAGTAACAAAATGCATTTTATATATACTGCTACATATATTAATTAAAGTAGTTTACTTAGTCAAATTTATTGCCCAACTTATTGAACTTCTTATACTGATAATAATTATCCAAAAAAAAAAAATAGTAAGTATAATGATGTCGATGACTCTCTAGTCTAGTTGTCATCTTTTTGTGTTGTTAAATTTTATGAATGCATATTATTTTAATATATTGTGGGATGATTTAATGCTAAATCTACATAGTTATTTTAAGCCTTCTCATCTTTCTTGCAATTAGAAGCTTGAACTTTATGTCATTCACCAATCAGTTTAATTAGTCTTTCTATGCAAGCATATGCATATTTATTGGCCTATTTTGCTGCTCTGAAAATCTAGGTGTAATGTTGTGATAATGATTATAATGGAAATATTGAATTACTTGTGAGTACAGGTATTTATATGCAACAAAGGACATCCGTAGCCTCTCCAATATCATAGCATCACTTGCTGCAACCAACTAATTAGAAGGTTTTGACTGATAGAAAAGGTGTAATTAGGTTCTTTCGTCATAGGCTCATATGCTTACATAAGGATTGCTGTCACGATTTCATAATGCTCATGAGTTAATAATCAATTATGGTCAGGTCATTCTATCATAATTCATTTTGATAGAATTATAACCCTAAATATTGTTGTTGATACTAATATTCTTAATGTTATAAGTGCTTATGCTCCTCAAGTAAGTTTATATATATGTTCAAAAGAAAAATTTTGGAATGACTTGGAAGAATTAATATAAAAGATATCTTTTGAAAAAAAGAAGTTTGATTTGAGGAGATTTAAATGAACATGTTGTTAGAGTGGTAGAAGATTTTAGAAATATTCATGTTGGCTACAATTTTGAGTGATTAATAAAGAATGTGGAATCATATTGGCTTTTGCTTTAGCTTATGATTTTATTATTGCTAATACTTTATTTACGCAAAGAGATGAATATATTATTATTTCTAAGAATAGATCTAATAAAACATGTTGATTATTTTTTTATGAGAAAAAGAGATCGTCAAGAATGTAAAGATTGCAAGGTCATTTTAAGTGAAAATTTAAGTACTCAACATTGATTATTAGTTTTGAATTTTAAGATTAAGAATTGTAAGATTAAAATTACAACGAAACATTGTCTTAGAATTAGATGAAGGCACTTAAAAGACACATATAAAAGTATTTTTATGAGCAAACTTTAAGATTTTAAGATATAGGATGTTCGTGAATAAGCTAATTCTTTGTGAGATAAACTAACAAGCACCATTAAACAATTGACAAATATGTACTTGGAGAATCAAAAGAAAAAAAAATAAATAAAAATAGTTGGCGGTGGAATAATAATATGAAAATAAAATAAAATATAAGAAGTTTTGTTGTAAAAATGAGGTTAAATACAAAAGCTTAGAGAATTTAGAAAAATATAAGGTGGCTTGTAGCGAGTCTAAGAGAATTATTTGTGTATTATTTTTCTAATGTGAGAGTCATACCCATCAATTTATCTTGTAATAATTTTCTATGAAATTGAAGAGGAATAATTATTTTCTCACTTCCAAAACCTACTTTGTATCAGAGCCACGATTCACTCTCAAAATTATGTTCAATACCGTTTAGCGTCTGTTCGGGAGTTCCACTTCGCTCTGTTTCTACCCCCAATTGTTACACACTATGTAGGCCTCAAATGTCCATTTAAGAGTTCCATCTGCGAGTTCTGATATGCCACTTGCTAGTTCTCTCTGGCGTCGGTTGGGAGATTCAACTCAAATGTCCTTCTTGGAATTTCGCCTGCATTTTCTGCCCCACCTTTCATGCTTTTTCTAAGTTCTGCTTGACTGCTGCTAGAATCGAACTCCTCACCACTTTCTATGGCTTCGACCACGAGCTGAGTCCGTACCAGAATCAAAGCGTCTTTCTTCTCCACCGCACGAGTGTCATTCATCTTAGAATTTGAAGATGTCGTACAGGTCAACAATGATGTAAAGTGTCTAGAAAATTTCTATCAAATTGAACAGCTCGAGTAATTTTGAAACCACATCACCTCTCCCTACAACCCTTCTCATGGTTGTATCGATCGGGTATTATTCGCATAACTCACCTCCTTATCTCATAGTTATAAAACTCAACAGGCATAACTACCTCAAATGGGCTCAATTCATAAAATTAGCGATTGAAGGGAGAGAAAAAATGGGGTGTTTTAACCTAAGATAATTAAAAACCAATTGTTGGCGATCCTGATATAAAAAAATGGTAGTCCGAAAATTTTTTGGTTATGACTTGGCTCATCAACTTTGTGGAACCTACCATAGGAAAGGACATCTATTCCTTACCACTGCTCGAGTATCTTGGAGGTTGTTCTAGATCTTTATTTAGACTTGGAGACTTCTTCCTAAAATCTTAAATTGAAAAATCAAATTTAAAATCAAAACAAAATGATCGCGATGTTACTATTTATTAAAACAAGTTAGTAGTATTATGACAAAAACTTGATTAATGTTATGTTGACATTTGAGATAATTCGAATGATTATGCTTTTCCACAGGAAAAAAAATAAAACAATCTAGTCTATATGTTACTAGTCGGCCTTAATTGGAGTTTAGAAGAAGTTTGATGTCGCATATTTGGTAGGAAACCCCTACG